TGGCTGGCGAATAGGGGAGAGGCGAGCAGACGGCTAAAAGAGCCAGGATCTACAGCCAACGCAAGGGCGCTTATACTGCACATACATTAGCATCAGGCCAACAACTACTGGATGGCCTTGATCACATTGGGCAACAACGCCTTCATCACTGAAACCGCCATGGCGTTGCCGGCGAGCTCGCCGGCCGCAGTGCGCGTGAGCATCGAGAAGTCGAACTCAGCAGGGTCGCTGCCCTGCAGGCGAATGATGCTGTCCAGGCTGAGGAAGTTCATCGTCTTGGTGTCCACGTAGGCCTTGGTCGCAGCCACGCGACCCGGTGATCGCGGGGGACATGCCAACCATGTAGTGTGGGCCACGACCGTTCGCAGCATCAATGATGATGCGGGCGTCGCCAGGCTCCATGTCACACTGCTGCTTGATGGCCTTGGCGGTCGCGAGTATGCGGGGCCGCAAGCTCTCGGTGGTAGGCAACGAAACCCCCTTGTCCAAGAACCTCGAAAGAGCAGGCGGCTTGGACTCCATCGGCCACTGAAACGCGTCGCTCCCCTTGATGTCAGAACGCAAGCACACGTAGTACACGCGCGAGCGGTTCTGGGGAACGCCCAAGTTGATGCTGTTCAATACCCTCATGTGGATAACGTGCCCGGAGCGCCTGAGACTGCGCTCAATCTCGCCACGAACAGCCTGGTGGGTGGAGTACAAAAAGCCAGGCACATTCTCGATAATCACTGCGCGAGGCCTCTGGCGCCTCACGTACTGGAGGATGGGGTCGATCACCTGGGACCTCTCGTCGTCGCAGCTCTTGTGCGCCCCGTCGGCGGCGCACGGCTGGCACGGGAATCCAGTGCTGAATATGTCAACTGATTTCGCGCCCTTGAAATCGTTGTCGAACACGTTGGAGTATCATTGCTTGAAATCGAAGTTGGCGGTGCAAAGCGCGCGGCTGGCGGCAGCAACGTCGCGCCCAAACTCGTGCGCGCATGGGGCCCCCAAGAAGTGGAGCGCCTGCGCCTCCGACGCCCAGCCCGTGCAAACGCTGCCCATCTTGATGGCTGCCTTGGCCTTCGTGGTGGGCGCAGCGCGCGTGGCAGCCTTGCAAGCCTTCCCCATGGGTAGCGCGAAGGTTGCGCAGGGGCCGCCTAAATCACTTCAGCCCAAATGGCTACGGATAAACTGGAGCGGCATTGGCAGCGCAGGACATTCAGGAGGGAGGGCATCACTCAGGAGAGGGGTTCATGGGAGCAATATTCGGATGCCCAGGATGCGGTAATTATCCCAGCGCGACCCTACCTGGGGGTTGGAGAATCTAGGAACGCAACATCTACATCTACACCGACAGCTACATTAACATCTACACCGGCATCTACATTTTCATCAACATCAACAGCGAGACGCACATCTACATCTACATCCACATCTCTACATCTACACCTACATCTACATCTACACTTACATCCACATGTACACCTCATCTACATCTACATCGACATTTTCGCGCCAGTGCTGCTTTTGCTTTGCATGCTATGATTTGGTTTGTTATGTTATGGTTTGCTATGCTACGCTATGCTTGGCTATGCTATGCTATGCTAATGCTGTGCTAATGCTGCGCTGTGCTAAGCTAAGGTAAGCCAAGCTATGCTATGATATGCTGCGCTATGCTATGCTAGGTTAGGCTAGGCTATGATATGATATGCGATGCTGCGCTATACGATGCTATGATACTATGGTATGCTGCGTTCTGCTATGATATGATGTGCTATGCTATGCTGCGCTGTGCTATGCTGTGCTGTGTTATGATGCGCTATGCTATGTTATGCTATGTTGTGCTAGACTGCGATGTGCGATGCTATGCGAAGCAATGCCATGCTATGGTATGCTTGGCTATGCTATGCCGTGCTGTGCTGTGCTAGTGATGCGCTAAGCTAAGCTAAGCTAAGCTAAGCTAAAGTCAGCTATGCTAAGCTAAGCTAAGCCAAGCTAAGCTAAGCTAGGCTAAGCCAAGCTAAGCTAAGCTAAGCATAGCTAAGCTAAGTTAAACTAAGCTAAACTAAGCTAGGCTAGGCAAAACGGGGGATCCTGGGGGAACTGTGGGGCAGATGCCGGCGGAACCGCCCGGGCCGGCCCTGGGGCGGCGTAGTCCACTGCCCGGCCCCTTGAGCTTATGCGGTAAGAACCCGTCTAGGCAGAGCCAAAGTAGGGAACGAGTAGGATGAAGAGGCAGAGGATGACGAGGATGAAAATGAGGGGCACGAGAAGGAGGATGCGAATGCACGAGCAGGAGGAGTAGGTGGAGCAGGAGGAGGAACGGGAGGACAAGGAATAAGGAGGAAAAGGAAAGGAAGGTGAAAGAGCAGCCCCCCCCCCCCCCCCCCCCCCCCGCGCTAACGCGCCTTGCCCCAGGGGCAGCGCCCGCAGCGCCGCCGCGGGCAGCGCCGCCGCCCGCCCGGGCCCGGGCCCGGGCCCGGCCAGGCCAGGCCAGGCCAGCCCCCCCCCCCCCCACCACCCGCCTGGCCAGACCCCCCCCTTCCACCACCCCGTCCAGGACCAAAACACCAGGAACACGATTCAAATGCCCTGGAAAGAAAACCATGGCCCCTCCTCCTCATCCGTCTCCTTATAATTTTATTGGCCCTGCGACCCCCCCCAAAAATTTGCAAGTGTCTTTGCCCTTACCCTCGCTGTACTCCTGCTCCCCTCATCATCCACCCTTCCCTCCCCCGCCCTTTTCCTTCTCCTCCTCCTCCTCCTCCTCCTCATCATCACCCTTCTCTTGCCTTTCCTCATCTTTCTCCCCCCCCCTGCCTGCCCTTTTTTTCTCCTCCCACCTACCCCGACCTCAGGAGGATAATGATCAGGACGATAACAAGGACCACGAAGAGAAGCATACGGACGTGGAGGAGGAGGAGGAGGATGAGGGGCAGGAGCAGGATAAGGGGAAAGAAGACAAGGCTGACAATAACGATAAGGACAAGGACGAGGATAAGGATGATATTGATGACATGCAGCAACAACAGGAGCATGATACATAGCAGGGGAGAGGGAGGATGTGGAAGAGGATGAGGAGGAGAGGGGAACGTGTCGGGCTAGGTCGATCGACTCGGACAGCGGGCGGCCCTGGAACGCCGCCCCGCCGCCCCGTCTAACAAGAGCCAAGTGGGTGAGGCAGCGTCGGTACGACTGCATTGCCATCAGGAGACAAGAGGCCGGAGGAGGAGGAGGAGAAGGAGGAAGAGGAGGAGGAGGAAGAGGAGGAGGCGGAGGAGGCGGAGGCGGAGGCGGAGGCGAAGGCGGCGGCGGAGGCGGAGTCGCTGAGGCGCGAAGGCGACCGCGCATCGCGACCTGAGCTGGACAGATGCTCTTCTCCAGGGGGCGGCGCGAGGGCATGAATCGAGCCGCACTTCGCGCAGCGCGGAGCGCGAAGCTCGGCGACCTAGTCTGGGGATCGAGATCGAGCTGGGTGCAAATCGAGGATCGAGTCTAGTTGTGTCAAACGGATTCGGCATCCTGGTACGCCATCGTCGCCACCGCGGGGGGTCCCTCGGACCTCTTGGCTGGAGCGCAACCCGGGCAGGTGCGGTGGTCGATGTTTGTTTGACACCCGAATTAAGAGATCCGACACGTTGAAGCAAACAAAACACACTGCGCCCCCCCAACCCAAGTTTCGGCGTCTCGTGGCCGTCTCCAGTCCTCAGGAAGGTGTCGAGTGTTCCGGGGGGCGCCGCGTTCTTGAAAAAGCAACATGGTGAAATGGCGTCGGAGGGCTGGGAAATAGCCAGGGGTCTCGACAGCTGGGCGGGATTTGAGCTGAACAGCCTCGCATCTCTGGAGGAAGATCATCAAACATGTTATGTTCGTGGGGCCTACCCTTACCGAAAATGATTTGAACGATCCAAGCTTCAGATGCACCCGCTCCTATCCTGATCAGAGTAGCCTTTAGCGTTTCACCACCTCTGGTTCACAGTCCCAGATGACCTTGAGAGAAACTTGTCAGGGGGGTGAAAGAAAGCGTTCTGGGGGGGGGCGGGCGACGACCCCGAGGTAACATTATCAGAAGGTGTTGAAACGAGTCGTCGGATGTTGAGGGCAACCCGGATGTCCTGGATGACCTTGAGGGGGCAGATTTGGAGTGAAACAGGAAGTGTCCGTTTGGGCCCTTGGAACGCGGGTCCATGTTGTTTCACGAGGATTGCATGTTGCGAAGAACCGTTGTCCAACGAGTGCGGAAACATGGGTGTCAGTACATGCGTTGACAAGGTTCTTGTCGGTATTGCCAGATAACGATGGAAGTGTCTTGTCAATCTCAGTGGGTGGCCAGGCTCGTGGGTTCCCAGTTCAGGGCTAGCAGGTTGAGAGTAGAGAATGGAGAGCAGAGCGTGGAGGGTAGAGATCGAAAGTGTTCGTTGGAGGGCAGTTCCAAGTAGGAAGCATAGAGCAGAGAGAACGTAGTCATGTTCTCAATCATTTCCTCATACCCGCCATCAGCAGAAGTGCGGCGAATGCTTGGCACAGACAACGGAGTTGTTTCCCTGGTAAAGCTGACCGGGGAGGCAGATCCGTTGTATTTTTCATCATAGACCTCGTGGCCATGGTGCTTTGGAAGGGTCCGTGGCCCTGGGAGCGCGGGCCCATCGTATAACGGAAGGCGCGAAGCGATTCTCGTTTGACCAGTTATTTTGGGGATCTTCAAAAATTCATTGGTGGGAAAGTTGCCAGGATGGACCCCAGGAGGAGCAGAAGGAGGAGGATGAAAATATTGAAAATGTTGGAAGATCCGTTACATCAATGATTCCCCAGAGTGTGGCGTCGGCAGCACGGGCAGCAACCAGCAGAGTTGCTTCGATTGGAGTACGGGCGGCGGAACGCATTGAGCCTCGGATTTGATTGACGCCGTGAGCCACAGGTGTCCTGAGAGAAAGGGGGTCTGAGGCGCTGCCCGGACCGTCGAGATACTACGGCAGATTCAGGAGGGCCCCGGGGGATTCAGGATCCGTTTCTCTCAGAACCTTTTTGGTTCGTGGCGATTGTTCGTTGACACGCGTTTCACCACTCGGCACACATGACAGGAGCATTGCATGTCCAGCACAGCATGAGGCTTAAAGCTTCGCCGTGCATTTTTGCTCGTTCATTGTAGGAGGGACAGAAATGAGAGTCCCCGAGCGAATGGATTGGTTCTGTTTCACATTCGTGACGGAGTTGGCAAGCGCAAGTTAATGGATGACACGGAGGCAAAATGGCCAGATTTTGAATGTTGCACCGTTTGGTCAGAAAGACTTCGTAGTGGGCGATAGGGTCGCCACAATGATCAAAATGCACGCACGGGCACCTAATTTTCTTCGAAACATTCGAGTTGCTTGTTGTTGCATCGATCAAGGGGTCAAAAATTACAGGTGGCTGCACGATGCCATAAGGAGGTGTATCTAGGGTGAACCACTTTGACATCTCGCCGTCATTGGGGCACCAGATCTTCCATTCATTGCAAATGATGTTAGCACTTCAGGTGTATCGCAACGCCAACTCCTTGTAAGAGCTCCTCGTGCAACATACTCGAGATTCTTGCTTGAGGGAGATTTGAGACCACACCTTCGGGCAGCCGTAGGGTTAACCTTAACGCCAGAACGGACTTGCGACCATGACCGTCCAGGCTATCTGCCACATAGGTTCTTAGAATTTGCGGATCATGCCGCCGAAAAGTTGTGGCACGAGCTATCCAAATTGAACCTGTCGCTGGGGCGGTTAGGTATTGAGCTTGTCGCTGGGGCGGTCAATCACAACATTTTTCCATTACTCTTTCTTCTTTCTTTTACTCACTTCTTACACCACATTCCCAGTCATGCCAGCCCACGCTCGCCAGCCGGGCACTCCTGTGCGTGAAGCTCTAGGCGGGACGTCCTCCGGTGCAGCGCCAGTCGTCGTGGCCCTCGACACTCCCGCCGACAAGCGGGCCCGCCTCAGGAGCCCACTTGAGGAGATGGACGGTGACTCGGACCGCGAGGTGAAGGATCAGCTCGCGAGCCCCTTCCGGCAGCCAGACTTCTCGGGTGCCGACGCCGCTGCCGTGGACACGGAGCCCGTGACGATGGGCGGCATTGCAGCCCTCCTGAAGCAGCAGCTGGCCCCCATGACCTCCATCGTGGACGCTCTGCGGAGGGACTTCGGGAAGCTGGACATCAAGGTCACGTCCTTGAGCGAGACTCTGACCAGCCGCCTGGAGAACATCGAGGCTAGCGTTATCGATGCCGATCTGCGCATTGACAAGATGGAGGAGATGCTGAAGACAATGCCCATGACCAGCGAGGAGATAGGTAAGCTCGTCGACGATCGCATCAAGATGGCTATGGCGAGCAATGACCCCCCCCCACGGCTCCACTCTCTCCTCAGACCAGCCCGCCAACAAGCGTTTCGTTACAATGGTGGCGGGGAATTTAGACGGCGTTGGCGACTTGTCGGCGGCCGCCGAGTGGTTACAAGGGAAGTTCAAGACACTCTCAGCCCCTCCCCCAGCGAAAATCTATTCCAAAGGGACCTTCACAGGAATCGCTTTCGTGGAGTTCTCCAACATGAGCTCGCGGGACAAAGCTGTTGAGCTTCTCCGCACCGCGGGCTACACCTCAGGGGACAAGAAGGTTTGGGCCTCCCAGGACCGTTCAGCAACGGACCGTGCTGCCCGGAACTACTGCCTCGGGCTCAAGCGCCTTTTGAAGGACGAGTGGCAGATCGGCTACACTATCTCTGTCAGCGAGGAGGCGCCGTACGTGGTGACCGTGGGAGGCGAGCACGCGCTGACAGCGAAGATTGTCGACCACAGCGTGGCCTATCAATGGCAAGGCGAATGGTCTACTTGGGCGGAACTCCACAATCACCCGGAGATGAAGGAGTTGGCGAAGAAGGCGGACGACCTTGTGGCTCGGGCTGCCCAGGGCCTGAAGGGGAGGGCAAAAGGAGGGGCCAAGGGGAGCGGCCCACATCATTGACAAACGCATTTGATCAGTGACGTTTCACCCGCAGTCGGCAATACTGCACTTATGAACGACCGTTTGAGAAATCATCCGCAAAGCCTGCACGCAGGGAGTACCAGTACAAGTATAAGTTCCACAACAAGGAGTAGAACAGGGGATGTGCTACATTAAGAGGGGGTTCCTGCTGTCCGAGGCGGGCGGCTACGTCCATGCACTGATGGCGTCGCCGTGGGCTCTTGGAGCGTCGAGGGGCTGACAGAAGCGAAGCTGGATGAGCTACAAATTCTTATGCGGAGTCGGGTCATCGATGTATTGGCGCTCCAGGAGACGCACAAGAGCGAGTCAACGTATACTGCCACTAACCGGGGTTACCTATTGGTGCTATCGGGGGACCACGAAGACCAAGATACAACTGGAGTGGGTTTCTTATTTTCTCCACGTATTGGTGAGAGTATCATTGGGTTCCGCATGATATCTTCCAGGGTCGCTGTCGCGAAGATCCGGGCTCCAGGAGGTAAAATTTCAATTTTCAGCGCATACGCGCCCCATAGCGGAAAGCCAGTGACAGACAGACGTGACTTTTACAGTTCTTTGGGCGTGATTGTTCGTAACGCGTCCGGCCATGGAGGCAAGTTATTGCTGGGGGGCTTCAACGCGAGACTTCACAAACGTTTCCCTTCCCCTTCCGAGGAGGAGTGTCTAGGCCCGCATATTTTCGGCAACCCCGGAGCGGAGTTCAACCCGGAGTCGAACAGGAGCTTCTTGCTGGAATTTTGTGTGTGTCTCGCGATTTGGCGGTCAGCAACACGTTCTTCGACCGCGTGCCGGAAGAGCAAATCACATGCTACAGTGTGGGGCCCCGGCCATCAGATCCAGCCACACCGGAACACTTTGGGCAGATTGACTTCTTCTTGTGCTCACGCCAACTGCAAGAACACGCTTGCGATGTCTATTCTGTGAGGGGCGCCTCTGTGGCATCCCACCACTTTCTCTTGCAGTGCCACGTGCGCCTGAACATCCAGAGAACTGCCCGGCAGCGCGCGGCCCGGCTGGATATCTCAGCGCTGTCGCATGGCCCACTTGTGTCGCAATTCCAGCGTGCTTTCGTGGATTACATGGGGGACCGGGACCCATTGGATGGCGCGCTAGATCAGCTCAACGGTTCCACGGTGGACGCATTCACCGATGCTGCACGGAAATGCTTGCCAGAGGCTGGCGGCTCCAAGAGCAGGCCATGGATCAGCGATGCCACCCTCGAGCTGATTGCCTTGCGTGGAGAGGCGCGGCAATGCGGCGACTACGAGGCTGAGAAACGACTGCACGGCGGGATCAAAGCTGCCGTGAAAGCTGACCGTAGCAAATGGCTCGACGAGTTGTTGGCCTCTGGTGACTGGACGGAGATCAGAAAGCTCAGGAAGGGCCCTCGAGCGCAGCAAGGACGGATGCGAGATTCACGCGGACAGCAAGTGGACAGCGACAAGAGAGCCGAAACTCTGGCGGAGTATTTCTCCACGGTTCAATAGGCCGTGCGGCCGACGACCGTCGTCGACGACCCTTTCCCCATTGGCCCGGCGCTGCCTGTTGAGTGCGGTCGAATCAGCGCGGTGGAGGTGCGCAAGGCAGCCCGCAAGCTCAAGCGGAACAGAGCCCCGGGTGGTGACGACATCCCGGCGGAATTCTGGAAGACGATCTGCGTGCCAGATTCCCCGGCAGTGGAATGGGCTACGGCGTTGTGCAACAGGTGCTTGGCCGAACAGTCCGTCCCCGCAGCGTGGCACGAAGCTTTGGTAGCAGCGATCTTCAAGAAGGGCGACGTTGCGGATTGCGCCAACTACAGACCCATCTCTCTGCTGCCGATTGGGTACAAACTCTACGCCATGATTTTGCTTGCTCGGCTGAAGGACGCAGGAGCAGATCGTTATACCTGGGACACGCAGTACGGCTTCAGGAACGGCCGGGGTACATCAGACGCCTTGTTTGTCGCCCGGAGGATGATCGATGCCACATTGGAGTCCCGCTACGACCGGCTGATCTTCCTAGCGCTGGATTGGGCGAAGGCCTTCGACAGTGCGTCGCCAGAGGGTGCATTGCAAGCTCTACTCCGCTTCGGCGTGCCAGCGCCATTTGCAGACTGTGCACGGTCAATCTACACGGATAGATCGTTCCGGGTACGAGAGGCCGGAGCAGTGTCCGCATCTTGGCCGCGAGAGTACGGTACCTCTCAGGGTTGCCCGCTATCGCCGTATTTGTTTTCCATAGTAGTGACACTCTTGATGCGCGACGCCACAGTGGCTTTCACGCGGCAGGGATTTATGCAAGATGAGCAGCTTCCGGTCAGCGAGCTGATCTACGCGGACGACGCGCTCGTGGCGGGCACCAACGACGAGTTCGTGGGCGCGCTCATGACATGCATCCAGGAGGCAGGGCAGCATTACGGATTGATGTTTAATTGGAGCAAGATAGAGGCCCTGCCTGTTAGGTGCCAGACCGCGCTTACAAACCCGGCGGCGCAGTGGTACCGTGCAAGGAGAGCATGGTTTATTTGGGCGGCCTCCTATCTGCCAGCGGCGGGAGCGGCCCCGAGCTAAGCAGACGCTCGGGCATGGCAGCGGCAGATTTCAGCACACTCTGCAAGGTTTGGAAGCACTGCAATATTCCATTGCGAAGGAAGGTGCGGATATTTGAAGCATGCATTGCATCCAAACTCACGTATTGCTTGCGCACCGTGTGGCTCAACAAGGCCGAGACAAACAAGCTGGACGCCTTCCAAGCACGGTGCCTCCGAAGAGTGGCTGGCATAGGGCATTCGTATGTGAGTCACATCACCAATGAGTCCGTGCGCGCCGCATGTGGTTGCGGCAAGCTGACTTCTTTGCTGGCGTACAGACAGTTGGTCCTGATGGGAAACGTCGCCCGGCAACCAGATGGTAGCGCAGTGAGGCGCTGCGTCTTCACGCCAGGGGGGCGCGCGTTAGCCCGCCCGCGGGGCCCCCGCAGGCGCGGCCGGCCCAGAAACACTTGGAACCGATGCGTTTACGACTTGGCATGCCAAGCAGCTGGCGGACAAGCAACTCTACAACAGGCACTGACTGGGTCTGCGC